ACAGCACTTGCCCCAACGGTCTGTTCAAGGCTATACGGGGGATCTTTGTATTACTAACATGAGACGTCGGAGGGGTCAGAGGTTTAGAGAGACCATTCAGCCAGCAGTGGATTGACCATGGCTGATCATGATGATATGGTGGCTCTTGTAGCTACAGCACTCACCTCGGGCTCTGCGGCTTGTGCTGTCCCACTCGAGTTGCAATTGTCCTGGATGACAATACAATCATCAACAAAGCACTCAACAGATTCGCCAAGAACACTCTGGCCTTGAAAGGAAACAAACAACCATATGCTGTATATAAAGAGCACGACGTTTCAAGTAGTCATCCTTCTGCAAAGCACGTAAGAGAGACGGTGGATAATAAGAAGTTGGAGACTGCACTTAACAGCATGGGGCCTGATACATTAAAAAAAATATTCCGATGACCAGCTTTTTAATTGGCTCATGAATCGTTAGTTAATTAATAGTAGCTATTGAGTAACATACAAAACATGAAATGTCACCCAAAGTACACTAATTAATAAATAAACGAATTGTGTTCATGTCAGTGATCGCCACGGACAGCCGCAAACACGCGCCTCGGTCACTTTGAAGTCGTTTCGCTTTTTCTTTTCACTCGTTACCAAAGTTTCGCCTTTTCTGCGCGGCAACCTGCAGGCACAGACGCACGCAGCTCGAGCCGTGCGAGTTTGTTGAAACTCCCTCCCTCGCGCGCACCTCCGATTAGCACGGTTGGCTACGTATGGAGCGAAAGAAGTTCAACATGCCTACACACGTTCATACATACGAACCAGACACACGCAGCTCAGTTGTTCGTCAGCCAGAGCCGTGCGCTTTTGTTGATCTTTCCTCCCGCGCGCACCTCCGATTGGCACGGTTGGCTGCGTATGGAGCGAAAGAAGTTCACCATACATACACACATACACAGGAACCAGACACTCGCTCAACCGAGTTTTCAGTCAGTGGTAATCCACGCCAAGGGTGACCTCTATACCAGCGGTTCCCAATCTGTGGCCCGCGGATCACCAACTGCTTCAAGTTCATGTATTAGGTATAGCCCTGTGAGCCATTCGGCTCTTGAATCGGGTGCAACCGCGAACAAACTAAAAACATGAACAAGAAAACATCTTAAAGTGACTATGTGACTAGGTACTAACTGCTGCAGGGGACCCGCGGAAAATCCAATCACTAATTAACATCCTCACGAAGGAAATGTACAATTTCAAACTACGAGCGGCGTGTTGGTGGTCCGCGAAATGTTTAGTGACCGCTGCTTTAGAATAGCGAAAGTCTTGATTGGGGCAACCACAAGGTTGCTCCACCCGTCATGTCTCGCATGACGGGGGTGGTGGCATCACAAACTCCGCGTGTGCACTGCACCCACGCCACGCGGCTTTGGGTTTGGGACACCGACTCCAGAGAGTGAAAACTCAGGGCCCCCCACTCAGGCCCCCCCCCCCCCCCCACTGGCATGGGGACAATGGGGCAGCAAGCTGTGTACCGGTTTTGTCGTTTTTAGGAATCATCAGTTGTGTACATCCACAATCGCCGACTGCTGCATCGGTGCCTCCAGGGGCTTTCGATGGACAAGCGCTCTTGAATCTCTGCGTGGAACCCGTGGGCACTGCCCGAGAGTGGCAATGACGCGATTCTATTATCCTTATTCGAATGAGAGGCTTAATTTTTCTAATAATTTGGTGATGCGGCAGCAGCGTTGGCAGTGGTGCACAAACAACAATATATGTTAACAAACAAAAAAACCTCAACACTGTGGCCTTAAAATGAATTTTAAACATATATAACGGGCGACGTTTTGGGCAATGCCCTTTCTTCAGAGCACATCGTTTACAGAAAGGGGTTCGAATTCATCCATCAGATTGCGCGGATGGTAGGGGGGGGGGAGAGGGGGGCTAACGGGGTGAGTGCGGGGGAGGCATTGAGGCCGGGTCCGAGGCCGCCAGTTTGATGTCCTTTATGTAACGAGACGAGAAAGCGCTGTCTGCATTCATTTACCATCCATCACCATAAGTCCCGCAGCTGTCGCGCCGCGCTGCGAATATAACGCCACTTGGAATTGTGGCCACATCTCTTGTCGAGAGAGGCGTTGATGGCCGCGCGCGGGCCGTTTAATGTCCCCCGTCGTTCAATCTTGATTTGAAGCTTTCGTGACTGCAGGGGTCCAAACTCTTTGCTTCTTTCGGTAAAGTCACGTAGGTAGAAAAATAAAATAAATCACGACGTTTCGATCGCAACACAAGCGGTCGTTCTCAGGCAGGAACAAAACTATATAATACAGCAGTGGAACTGCTGAACCCACGTGACTTTATCGAAAGAACCAAAGAGTGTGTCGCTGTTTCGTGCGGCGCTCCGTTCGATTGAGGTTGGGGCTCACGCTGACCCACTTTAACCCCTCCCTCGCGCGCTGAATGGATGCCCAGATAATTATTGCACAGAAACAATCGGCAGCGACTTGATCATCATCATCTCATTGCCACGCGCAGAGCAACAACACAACCCCACAACCCCTCCGGCTCGTGCGCTTTGAACGGCTGACGTTTGAATGTTTTCACAAATAAAACAAAAATGCTACCGCCACCACTGTCATCGCCGTTGTTGTCACGTTACTCTACATCAGCAACAGCAGCGAATCCGGCCAAGTGGCTCAGCAGTAGAAAGCAAGCGGCTTGTGATCAGATGGCTCGCGAGTTCAAATCCTGGATGTGTAGGTGACCCATTATCCCCACGGGGTCGCGAGGATGAGTGAAACTTTGTCGAGAACTTAACAGTGGTTGTCCTACGGCCAGGCTCTCTCCCGCCATGGGAATGTGGAATTACCAGCATTGGCTCGGGGCTGTAAAGAAGAGATGAGCACCGCGTCAATGCTCATTAGAGCAGGGCACCACTTTGATTTTGAACACCAGCTATATCATCACCGTCAATCAAAATTATTATAAACATAATTGTCAATCATCACCGTCAATCAGATTGATCATCATATTAACAGCATCATCCACATCATCATAATTACGGGCAGCATTAATTCCCAACATGATCGTAAATTAATAAAACAACTTTTGCTCGGGTTACCGTGAGCGGTGATCTATCCACTGCTGGATGAAGGCCTCCCCCACGTCGTGGCCATCACGGTCCAGCCCAGCGCCTTGCACGTGTTTGCCCGCCTTTGGCTGCCAATCCGTCGTTAGTCTCGACCATCGTCGCCTCCAGCGACACGTTCTGTCCACACGCGCGCTTACTTTTCTTCACAGTCAGCGTTGTGTGCCTTCTATGTAACTATCTCGTGTTCTCTCGCCGACGTGTTCATCATTCTGGCTCTCGCGTGCCTCTCTGTGTGTGCACTCTTACGTGTTTGTTCCATTTTCTTCGTGAATGCCCGCGTTTCTGAACCACAGGTGCAGTATACATCGATCAAAACCGTCTTCGTTATGGACAATACGTATCATAAACAAACTACGTGATCATCAATCGAATCATCATCATCGCCGTTTGCGGGTGTGCGCCGGCCTTGGGTGCTGCTCGCTGGGAGCACTTGCCCCGACAGCCCGTGATCGGCTGTACGGGCAATCTTTGTCTTTGCTACAGATGATGACTGAAGCGCACGTGAGCGAGGTGGTGGTGGTCGCGTGCGCCGATGCGGTGGAGGCGATGTCCCTCTCGCCGGGCCCCGCGCAGAGCGGCCAGGTGCTCTCACCTTCATCACCACACTCAATACAAACATACTGGCATCCAGTATACACTCACACACCAGAGAAAGAGCCCCCCCCCCCGTATAGCCTTAACATACTGTCGGGACAAGTGCTGTTAGCGAGTAGCACCGATGAAGGCCGACTCGGCACACGAGGGAGTGGCTATAAACACGCCCGGCCGCCTTTGTCTTCCCGGTGTACGTATGTTCAACTTCTTTCGCACCGTACGTAGCCAACCGTTCTGATGTTTACACGCCGCACTAGGTAAAGTCGACCTAGGGGAGGCCCACGACCGTTTCGGATATTCGTCACTGATATTGGCTGTGAAAGGGGAATCGATCTCGCGTCACTGGCCATGTAGCTCAGTGCGCTAACCACCACCACCACCCCCCCTGCCCCCCCCAATCTCACCTATATACATACAACCACCCACAGCCTAGATACGTATCAAATCAATGTCGACTTGCGTTTACAAAGAAGGCTGAGTGGGAGCGCATCTCAAGACGCGCTGCAAGGAGCGAGACGGGCAGATTATTTCTCATGAGATTCGTGGGGGAAACAAAGAGGAAGTGATTGTGTTTCGGGTGAAGGTGGAGGGGGGGGGCACTTGGGGGAGAAACGTGGATCCGGGCAAAGATGAATATCGTCCTGAGCAATTCCCTCCGAGAGATTTTTACCTCGAGTGTGCAGGCGGTTCAATTGCACCTGCGGTGGTCCGAGCCAATTGAGGGCGCCGAGCGTAAATGATTTCTGAGTGGGCCTTTTCTGTCCAATGAATTTCAATACAAACGCCTCGAGCGGCACGGGCAGGATCCGTGCAGAGAATGGACACGTAATGACGGCGACGCGAGAGATGCAGGCGAGATGCAGAGGATGAAAGGTTGTCGGCAACATGCAGGCGTAGCGAGATGGATGCGAGACGTAGACATGATACAGGAGATGTTTACATGGGGAGAGAGAGAGAGAGCCATGGAGACAGCACAGATGCGTCTTGAGACGAGAGGGATGTAAGAGGCGGCGGGGGGGGGGGGATGTAAGATGGAAACGTAGCGATAGTGGACAGCGGAGAACACGAATTCAGACGTACTCGGCGGATATTTTTGGGGGACTTCGACGCGGAGATGGAGCCATGAAATCAGCTGGTGAGCAGCGGATGCCGGGTGGATTGATGCGAGATCGCCGGAGACGGCGGCGTTAGGGGGAGGGCTTCCTCCGCCCAGCTGTGAATGTACCTCGACTGATGATAACGATGATAACGATGACTGTCTGCCTGCCTGCCTGCCCTGACTCTTCGTTACCAGATTTTCCCGGAGAAGGTGGAGCCGGAGCCCGGGGCTGGCGCGGCGCTGCCTTGCATCGTCCTGGACGCCGAGGACGCGGTGGTGGAGAGCGGAGAACTCCGCTGGCCCCCGTGCCTCGCCCTGAGCCTCGCCGCTTCGTCCGACTTCCATCAGCAGACGAATTCAGCCGCGGGCCGTGTCCTCGAACTCGTGATAGACCTCGACATCAACTCTGCCGCTGCTGCCGACCTTGACCCCGACTCTGGCTCTAGCCACGGCCCGGAGATAGTGGTGTCCAGCCTTGACCCCGTGGAGCCAGCGGAGAGTGGGGAGCTCATGTGGCCTCCTGCCCATCTCATGGTCAAAGAGGAGGACGAGGACGACGACGATGATGATGACGGTGGTGGCGATGAAGCTGCTGATGATGATGATGATGATGGAGAGGTCTTCGCAGAAAACATAAAGGGGAAATCCCAAGCTGGTGGTGGTGAAGACGATGATGTTGATGATGATGGAGATGATGATATGAAAGAGGTTCCGGATGATCGCGATGACACTGCTGCGGTCACGTCGATGGAACCAGACGAAGCTAGGCACGCGGCTCTCGAGTTGGTGTTGGTGGATCCACGTGAAGATGGAGCGGAGCGGACGGGGAATTTTGGGGGTAAGAGATGTGAGGCTAAGTGGCCACAGGAGGCCCCGTTAAGTCGCCAAATCGAGTCCGTGCAGGGTCTTCCCAGTAACCGGTAGCGGGCGTTGTCTGATTTCTATCGGCGTGAGAGTCACGCTTCACGGGACGCGACTTACTTGCTTCACTGATGATGATCGACACGAGTCGATCGAGAATCACACCTTCAGGCTGACCCAAATTATCCAGCGTTCGTTTTCGCACGTAGAGTACAGCCACTTTTTTCTATTTTAATCAGGGTACGCGGGGAAATCCCCACCAACGCACACGAAGGAAAAATACTCGAAGCGCCACACAGATGGGTTCACGAACCCGTTGCTGTACTTCTGTTGGCGAGATTAGCACAGTATAACGGCCGTGTCGATACCGGCAGCAGTAGCCTGTGTATGGCGCGTACCGCGCAGCGCATACGCGCCGTGTAGAATCTCAAGCGACAACGTCTCTCGCTGTACCGGCTATGCGCCGTCTCTCAGCTGTACCGGCTATGCAACGTCTCTCAGCTGTACCGGCTATGCGCCGTCTCTCAGCTGTAACGGGTTGTCTCTTTGTCTCGTTTCCCACAGACGGCGTCACGCAGGCGGGAGCGCGCGGGATGGAGGCGTGCGTTTCCATGGAGGAGGAAGATGAGGAGGAGGAGGGGGTTGAGTTTGAGGAAGTAGGGGAAGGAGATGAGGAGGAAGTGGATCAAGACGAAGGAGATGATGATGAAGAGGAGGAGGAGGAGGATGAGGAGGAGGAGGAAGGAGTCTGCGGCCCGTAGCGAGGAGCACTCATCCCACGGTCGCGTTTATCCCGGGGTCTTCTCTCTCCGTCATCCCGCGCCTCCGTGCGAGTGCGCGCAGCGCGTGGCTCTCTCACTCTCTCTCTCTCACACACACGCACACAACAAAAACACTGACCCATACAGCACGCACACAGCACGCACGAAGAGACTGACAGACGGAAAGGTGATCGCCGTTTCGCATTAAAGCGTCGAGCAGCAAATCCACCCGCCCGCAAAAGGCACTCCGCGTGCTGCGCGCGCATGTGGCGACAGTCCACGTGGACTGTCGGCGAGAGACTGCGGGCTGGTTTGTTGACTGCACGTGGGAACGGCACGAGTGTCGGCCACGACAGTGGTGCGAAATGGTGGCGGCTGTTGTGATCCGGTTGTTGTTGTTGACGCCGCGAGATGGTGGTGGTGGTGATGGAGGAAGAGGAGGTGGATAGGGGTGTACAGGAGGAGGTGAAGTTGTAATTATAGAGATCGTTTTTAGTCGTGTTTACAATGGTTACCTGCGTGTGTTTTGTATTAGTATCGCTGATTATTATTTTTGGGGGGTTTTGCGTAAACGGAGGTTTGGTGAAAGAGCGATAAGCCGGATGAAAACGTTTTTTTGGAAGCCTTTAAAACATCCCCTCTCAAAACCAGAACAAATACTCGCACTAGCCCGGTGTTCAGTTTTCTTTCTAGTAAAACAATTGTACACTGGACAGCAGATAATTATTGCGCGGGATATGAACACGCGCATATTAATCCAAGTGGGTATATATGTGTCGCCTTCTTCACATTGCAAACCCAGCGGTCACGACCAAGCGGGCGTGTACATCACAAGTAGAGCATTGACATCATCATCAATATAACCACCATCATCATCATCGCTGTGGGCGACTGTACTTCTGTAATGACTGTCAGTGACAATCCCCTTGCCCCCCTACGCATATCAAGCGAGCCGCGCTGCTGTTTACCGCAAAGCGTCTCGCGACACATCCGATAGAGACATCGTGTATTTTTTTAAAATAATTATTTTGACTTAGAGAAAAATAGACGTTTCGGCCAAGGGGCCTTTACAAGTCTGCCGTTCACGCAAGACAGGTCATTTAAGGCGATGTATATAACTGTATATTATGTGGTGTGAGTGGTAAGTGAACTGCGCTACGAACGCGGCCACCTGAGTTCGATTACCGGCTTATGGCTAACGTCAGTCGCGAGCGATATCTGAAACGGTCACGGGGCTCTCGGCTCCACGAACCTGAATTGACCAGCGTGGTGAAGTATGATCAACCCCCCGTGACCGACACAGCGTGGGGGGCAGCCTTCTCATCCAGCAGTGGATTGACAAAAGGTCTGTGCATATTCACAATGTAGTGTTGCGTTGATGGAGTTACGAAAGAAAGAAAACAAACGAGTTTCTGGCTTATGGCTGAAGAAATCGGGAATTAATCCGTGGATCAGATTGCTCAGAGGTCAGAGACGCTAAGCCAGCATCTCTGAGATGCTGAGATTTGGATTCGGGCTTCAGCCCCTTGCGATTAAACCGGGGTTGCTCAGGGGTTGTGAGTTCATGGTCTCAGCCAGGTCAACAAACGACTGCAACAACAACAACAAAAATCCTCATCGTGCTGAACTGCGGTCACTTCATTTGGCAATAATTCTAGATTTGAAGCTTTCGTGACTGCAAGGATTCATATTCTTAGGTTTTTTTTCGGTAAAGTCACGTAGGTAAAACATCAAAATAAAAAAAAAATAATAAAAATAAAATAAATAAATAATCATTTGGCAAATTACAACTCTGACCGTGAGCTACTTTGTTCGGTTTGATTGCCGATGCGACAAACGCCGCCCCGTGTAGCAGTGCACGCGAGAAGGTGCATCGCCCGCCGAGTGTGGATGAGACGGCAACTTTGCAAGGACCTTGAAAGGACCTCTGACACAAGGTGATGCACCGCTTTCTGCGAGTGATGCCCTCCTGGAAGACGCCTTCTCGTCAATGACAATTTCCGTCTGTGCCCTGTACCCGGAGTGAAACCCGCGTGGCGTTAACTCCAAGACTGCCGTTGAGCCCGTCACGTCTTGCAGGCTTCAGTTGCCGTGAAATGTTGTCGCTAGAATGAATGTGCGTGGTGACGATGATGATGATGGTGACGATGATGATGACGATGCTCGCTTTGTTGAGGTCGGGCAGGTGGATCGCGCAGATATAAGAGTCGTGAACGTAAAGACATCGACCCGTAGGGCATTTAGGCTGCGACTGTAAGGTATCACAGTACAGCAAGTAGGATAGATTTACTTTTTTCAAATGGCAAATGATCAACTGCATAGCAGGATCACGTGAAGTCGAACCCATTGTGACTCGTTTCATCTGAGATAAGTCAAAACAGGAAGCTGCTGTCATCATGGCGTTGATGAGCGTTAAAAAAAATCCAAGCAGCATCTTCCTGACAAAACATATATCCTCACGCGCCATGTGTACATGTCCCAGCGTTCATAAGTTGTTGTTGAAGCGAACACGTCCATGCATTCGCCACCCTAAGTGGTGGCGACGTTGCAACGCCGCACGAGTGCCAGGCTGGGTGCCCTTTGAGGCCACGCGAAATTGGCTCGTTGGCAGGAAGCCACGGGACACGCCCAGGTGTTACGGGTGAAACTGCGTGGAGATGACAGGCAGATGTACCAACTCACTGTGTTTTATCGACCCGGGCGCGCTGCTCGTCGTTCTGAGCGTCACACAGACATAGGCGCACGCACGCACGTGGTTTTTTTTGTTTAGGCCTGACGGTGGCACAGAGCAGCGCGGGGTTTGTGTTGTCACTGCCTAGTGGCACTGTGTAATTGCCTAGTGGCACTGTGTGATTGCCTAGTGGCACTGTGACATTGCCTAGTGGCACTGTGTGATTGCCTAGTGGCGTCGTAGGACCCGTGGAACGCTTGGAGTACATTGGGCACACAAATCCCGTAACTCCGTAGCTCTCGACCCGGGCGCTGAGCCCAGGAAATGCGCTGTGGTATTTCATGCTCGCTCGGTGCTCATGATTTATCAATGGGGCAACCGGACGGCGCATTTCCCTGGAATCAATTAAAGTGGGGGGGGGGGGGGGGAAGGGGGGGTAGTTGGAGCCTTTTAAATCGAGGCGTTCACGTGGGATGGGATGAGGCGGCAGCTGGAGGAGATAGGTGACTCCAAGATTAATTGAGTTGGTGGGGGAGGGCATGAGGTGGGGGCTGCTGAGGTAAGGCATTTAAATAGGAGTCGCTGTAGCCGAGGGGATAGACACACGAGCGGGTTTCGTTTAACGACTCGTCACCTCAGATGGCATTAACCCCCTCGGTTACAGCAGCCTCTCCGTTGAGCGACGTTGCCCTTGGCATCCTCTATAAGTGACACGACGCGTTTAAACTCGTCGGACCGTGGACACAAGTTTAACGATGAATTAGGTACGTGTAAATAATAAGCATTCGTAGATTGCGAGTGTACTGTTAACGTCAAGTCGTTTGGCTCCTGCCACCCTGATGACGAGATTGCTTTGTTAGTGGGAAGGGCGGGGGGGGGGTGATGGCCCCTCCGCTCTCATCTCGTTTGAAGGGCCCAACGGGGACCTTCAGTTTCCTTTTGCGGGAGCCACACGTTAACACACGTGAACACACGTTAACACACGTTAACACACGTTAACACACGTTAACACACGTTAACACACGCGCGCGCACCTGGGCGTTATTCGGTAATAGCGCGACATGTAAATAAGGTGACCGAGCGCGTGAACAATGAGGAACACGGTGTTACCAGGTCCAGATGTCACCCTTCACGGTACTCGAGTGGTGCCGTCGAAGATGCTTGCAGTGACGGGTTACACATCGTCCTCGAAGCCTTACGGGGATGCGGGTCGTCTGAGATGAAAGTCGCGGGCTGCGTTCGGCTCGCGGGGCGTGAGGCTCCCCACGCCTGCTTGTTTTAGGGTGGGAGGGGGTGATGGTGGTTGAGGGGGTGCCGGGGGGGAGCGGTAGTGTAGCGGTCAGCGAGCTGCGCTACGAACCCGGCCATGCAGCCTCAAATGGGTACCTGGTGCAGCGTGTACACATCGCCACTAGTGAGACAAAGGCGCCCGTGCGTGGTGCTGGCCACCCACCCCCTCGTGTGCCGTGCCGGCCTTCATAGGTTCTCGCTAACAGCACTTGCCCGAACAATCTGTTAAAGCTATACGGGGGATCTGTGTCTTTGTGGGGGTGCAAGTCTGGACTACACTGCACGTTGTTTGTGCCACGTATACAGACCACGGCTTAATTGCTCATGGAACATTTCTAGCGCCCCCGCTTCCTCCCTCCCCACCACTTCCCAGACCCCCCCCAACCTCCCTTCACTTACCCCTCCGAAAGCTGGGAATTAGTTTCCGTAGCTCAGCCCGGGACAACTCCGGCTCACAATTAAGCGCTGGTTACAGGCGGACAGAGAGAACCATGTTTTGGGATAGACTGGTGAATTAAAGGAGTTCTAGATTTGAAGCTTTCGTGACTGCAAGGATTCATACTCTTAGTTCTTTCGGTAAAGTCACGTAGGTAAAAAATGAAATTAAAATTAATAAAAATAAAATTAAAATTAAAAATAAATAAGAATAAAGGAGTGTCGATTTGAATAGAGTGGTGAAGTCAATAGATGATGGCCGACTGGCTGGCTGGCTCGACCGAGGGCCCTCAGTGACGCTGGGGTGGCTGGAGATTCTGAGCCGGCTGCCGCAAAGGCTGATTATAAAGGAAGCCTCGACCCCAAAACACACACAAACCGCTCTTATCTTGATAGAGTCTCCTCTGATCGATTCTCCCGAATAATTCAGCTCGGAAGGAAATTTATCACCGCGCCGTGGATTAGAGACTTTGGTTGGAGGTTTTTTTTTTTGTGGTCCCACTGTTGAGATTCATAATTATCAGTCCATGGCCAATGAACACCTCCTATCCCTCCTCCTTCTCCTCCTCCTCATCTCTCTCTCAACCAAATATCATCTCGAATT